TTTTTCAAAAATGTTCAATGTAAAACCCATATGAACGCCACTGGTTGAAATAAATAAAATTGTTTCCACATCAAAAAGGGCATTTTATCCAACAGCCACTACTTATACAGACATTACTGCATATAAAATAAACAATAACACACGCGTGAGTTTTTGAAGTTAATAATAACAAACTAGTGTGTTATAACTTCAAAGCCACGCCATTTTGTAAGAATTATTAAGCTTTATTCATAAATCACTAATTCAATTATTTATTTAAAATATCATTAACATTAAATGAAAATGATTTTTTTTTTGTAGATTCAGAAAATGTAAAACCTTGTATGCCTCCAGATGCTGTCCCTCCACTGCTTGAAATAGGCTCTGTCATTACAACGGCTCGTTCTGGAACACTTACAGCACCTTGAATCTTTTTCGCAATCTCTATTTTATTGTTGATGGACTCTTCGATATATCCTTCCGCAGCCGTTGCAGATCGCCATCCTCCGTGTTTTTTTAACGGTGTCATGTTCACTCCTGCATTTGCCAGTAATGTAGCGGATGATCTCACACAATGGCTAGTGTATTGCTCAGGATGTTGTAGACCCAAGTACTAGCGAAAGATCTTCCTGAATAATTTTTCTTTAATGCTGGTTGATAATTCACTATTTTATCGTTAAAAAATCGCGATTTATCTAAACGACGTCTAAATGTCAGTGCTATTTATTATTTACAAAAAAAAAATCACATATGGCATAAGCAGAGGGCATAAGCTTTGTTCGGGTTCGTTTTTGAGAACCGTCCTAGAATCGTTCTCGCACTGCACAGAACTACTTGCGCAGTAGTTTGAATTCTAGAACTTTTTTTGGATCTTTTGAGGACTATGAACTACTTGATGAAACCCGAACGCTTTGCGAACTAGTGAAAGTGACAGAAGCGACTTAACCTCACTATTGAAATAGAGAGATGTCCTTATAATTTGTTTGTTTATTACAAAAAGCAACACTTGAGCACCCCAAAAATGGAAGATTACAGAGCAGTTAAAAAAATAAGATATAGTAGTGAATTTCTATGAACCTCTTTCATGTGACGTCACGACAAATGTCGACTGCCAAAAAACAGCTGATTGGGGTCATTGTTATCATGGCATAATATGTAAATTAGATGAGATTTATCAAATTGGAAGTATTATAGTGAGATATAAGTTGCTTTTTGGATATTTATTATTATTAAGTGTTTTGGGTTGACTGTAATTAGTACGTTTGTATCCACAAATAAATATGTCGTAAAAATGACTCGTTCTTGTACCGTGTATGGGTGTTCTAATAGGAGCAATCGGGAAAAGAATAAGAAATTCTTTGGTTTTCCCGGCATAAAAGACAGGAGAGGTCGTGATTTACCGGAAGGTAAAAATAGAAGGACCCTTTGGCTAAAGGCAATTCATCGCGAAGACTTAACGGAGGAAAAATTACGATATGCAGCTGTATGTTCAGACCATTTCACAACAGGTCAAGTCTACATTTATGTTTATGTGTTATGTAAGAAGTATTGAAAAGTGCATGTTTTATATGCTATCCATCTCCAGAGATCCGGATTATGTTCCAACCCAGAAGCTGGGATATGTAACAAGCTCCTTAGTTCAGACGACTGCTGTTGATAGATACATACAGGACAACGAAAAGGCTGCGAGGGAGCAGTTTACAGGTAACTACGAGTTATCCTGGTTAAAAATAAGAAAAGTGCTTAGAAACATATTTTAAATAACTATAATTTTTAATAAAGTATGTTGTAATAAATTGTTTTTAATAAAGCATGTTGTAAAGTTAACACACATGTTGTTCCACTATTTTTATATGCCGCTAAAAATTCCTCCACATTCACATCCGGTATTTCAGGCATTATCTCTTCTTCAATAGGAATAATCTCTTCTTCTGCAAATGGTTGAAGTAAGTTCTCGGGTAGGCGGAACTCAATATCCATTATCTTTTTATGGAAATTTTTCTTGGATTTTGGCCCTATCCAATAAGCAAGCACATCGGTTACAGATTCTTCTTGTTTGCTGACATATTCTAAAGCAAATAACATGGCGGCTACATGTGTACAGGCCTCTCCTAAACCAGCAACACAATCGCAATGAGAATTTAAAATCTCTCCATTGCTTGACAGAGAGAGCCATATATTTAGGCTTGGGCTGTTAATTTTTTGTGAGTGCATCACCTGCAATTTTACTTGCTTAGTATAAATTATATGTGTCTAATCTTACCTTGCCAATAACACAAAATGAATTATTAATTTCAAGAGCTTTTATGTCTTCTATCCACTTGGACGCAAATTGTGTGAAAGCATCTAAACTCTTATAAGCCCGGATTTCAGCTTGTGTGGCAGGACTGACTCTGAATATCAGAAAATTCGTAACTGCCTCTGATGTAATTCGTGGCAATTCATCTAGTGGCAAAATTAAATTTTTCAGTTCAATCGAATATGGGTCAATACCTCCGAATATTGCAGTATTCGCTGCATATCTCATGACACATGACCCCGATCAGCTGTTCAGTGACAAATGACATACGTCAATCGTGATGGACTTGGAAATGCCTAATTGCATTGACCGCCAGAAATTATTTCCTTTTCAGGGTAATTTTAAGAGACATATGGCAGTTCAAGAAATTCAAATATACTCTAGCTTTATTTCGTTATAATATAATCAAAATTTAGTGTTCAATTCCTGGAGTCCTGGAGGATTATACTATTTATTTTCATAGAAATAATGATTTGAGAAAGCATTTAAGATAGTGTTAGGACAGAATTTGTATCAATTGAAAGTAGGTAAGTTAAAATGACAACCGTAACAGGATATGTACAATATATAATTGGGATTTTGTAGATTGATATCTGATAAATATATCTGACTAAATATAAAGGAACAAAATTTTAATAATTTATACCCAAGAGTAGTACCTACATTGGAATGTTCTCAAAATATATCAGATACGTACATTAAAAACTGCCATTTATCCTTGATATAAGTGGTTTGCTTCTTTCTAATAATATAGCTAACTCTATGTTTTCTAATTACCACAACATTATAATCAAAATTGATTGCCAAAAAATTATCTGCCTTTATTATTTGAATTTATACATATTTATGTAAAATATAACACACATACATAGGATACGTAATTAGTATAAGTAAGAAGATAATGCAATATTAAAAAAAAGTTTTAATTTATACAGGGTGGTCCGAATTGTATTCCGGAAACTTCGGCAGCATATTCTGCAGATAAAAATAAGTAAAAAAGTTCGTATAAATGCATGTCCTAAAATGCTTAGTTTCGGAAATACAGGGTGTAGAAGTTTCATTTTTATTTCGATTTTTTCCAAATCATTTATGAAGTAACATCAATATTCGGATGAAAATTGGTGCCTAGTAGTTTTTTGATATGAGAAATTTGATTTTGATGTCAATATGACTCGTACTTGTAGAGGGCGCCACCTACATATTTTTTAACTGGTTTGAAGAGTAATAACTTTTCGTCCGTACCTGTATATAACTACTGAGTAAAGAAATATACATTTACGAAGTTTTTTACGTAAAAAATGTCTCTTGGTAAAAATCGGTACGAGTAATGGTTCTCGAGATATTTGGAATCGAAATTACCAATACCTATCATAATTGACATAAATTAAACATGTCGACTAAATAGATATTAGACTGAAATAATAAATTTGAAATGTTTTTCTGCCAAAAGTTCAACAGAAACTGTTTTATCATCATTTTTTCGCAGAAAAGTTTATGAATAATTAAAAGAAAATTCCCAAATTGATTATTTCAGTCAAGTAACTATTACTATCTACTCAGCGTGTTTATTTTTTGTCAATAATGACATGTATTGACTATTTTCATTCTAAATATCTTGAGAACGGTTGCTTGTAGCGATTTTTACCAAGAGACATTTTTTACGTAAAAAATCATGGAAATATATATTATTTCACTCCATAGTTTTATACAGGTACGGACAAAAAGTTATTCCTCTTCAAAACAGTTAAAACACATGTAGGTGGCGCCCTCCACAAGTAGGAGTCATATTGGCATCAAAATCAAATTTCTCATGTGAAAGAACTCCTAGTCACCAATTTTCGTCGAAATATTGACGTTACTTCATAAATTATTTGGAAAAAATCGAAATAAAAATGAAACTTCTACACCCTGTATCTCCGAAACTAAGCATTTTGGGACATACATTTATACCAACTTTTTTACTTATTTTTATCTGCAGGATGTGCTGCCGAAGTTTCCGGAATACAGTTCGGACCACCTTGTATATTTTATATCTAAATAATTTATTTGATTACGTATAAAAAATTTAAGTACATAGCTATTTCAAAATAAAACCTTACAAAGGAAAGAAAACATATTATGTAGGCTAATCATGTTTGTTTGCTTTCTTTTTAGATATGCCAATAATTGCCGAAGGATATTTAAAGAATAACTGGGAATAATCAGTGGAAAATGATAAATGTTTAATATAATTATAGTTTTGCACTACAGCCTTGAACAGAAAATAGAAACCAAAATTATGAACAAAGTTTTACAGGATATAATTTTAGAACAGATGAATTTTGCCTCATTATTTATATAATTAACATAAGAAGCCTAATATTGAAGACATTCTAGTAATAGAAAAATATGTAAATAATATGCTAGATAACTACAAAAAATTCATTATGGTCATAACTATTTATTAATTTAGTTAATAAAAATTATCAATTTTTTGTTAACTATTTTTATTTTGTAACATTTCTAACCCTCAAAAATCTTAAAAATAAGTTAAATTGACTTCCATAGAGCTTTAATTGCTAATTGTTATAAATGAAACACTTTAATAAAATTTGATGTTAAAAAACCAAACCAAATCAAAACAAATTAATTTGTGTATGAAGGATAAATATGATATAAATAATAAATATATACATTACTATAGTAAATATATCTAAAATTGTAATTTATACCTCTCTACAAGATCATTTTCAGAAATATTACTTATAATAATAAAATAATTTAGCTCTTCTTGGTTAATCTGGTTTCGTAAGGGTAGTTCAGGCACATTTTTCAATCGAACAATAAGTATTATTACAATACCTACTAATTTGTAGATAAGGTACCTATTTTTCAGTTTCAATCAAAGTCCTACTAGTCATAGGTTCTTGTTATAATGACAAAAATAAAATTTTAATATGATGTATTGTCCATCTCCTAAAACAATGAATAAATATGTATAATTTATTTATTTTATCTCTGTTATACAAAGACAAATGTTATATATTTCACATTTTCTACTACTATGTTAACTATTACCCTTGTATATGAATTTTTAAAGTAGCTCAACCTAAGACGTTTATGGATGTAAAGCACCAGATGGCGGGGCGTATTTCACAGTCTTTTACTACAGAAAAATATTTTTTGTTACTCTGAATTTTGAAGCGACCAATAAAAACAGAGAAAATAAAAATCGATAATTTTCGGATTGTGCCAATTGGTTACTAATCGACCAGATACTTTTTGTGTATTAGATATGCTAAAAAGCTAGTAATTATACAATTCGACCATTGTAAATACCCGACAAATTCCGCAAAGCCGACGAGGCCGATGCACTGATAAGAAAAAAAAATGTTTGTTTAGATAATTTTCGAGATATTTTTCTTTCTGAATGTACATTTTTAAAGTATTTTATATTCTTTGTCCGCTTGATCTATTATACTGGTCGCACGTATCGAAGTTCTGTTTCTTCTAGTTTTAAAAAATGTTCTTATTTCTTTGTAGTTGTAGTGGTTGTAGTGTAAAATTAGATTAATTTTATTAAGTTTAATTATAATTAGTGATGTTGGTAGCGAATATTTCCATTCGAATTTTGCAGGCAATTTCAGAAATTTCGGAAATATTCGGTCTGAAAATCGCGAATATTCGCAAAAATCCGAATTGTGCAAGAAATTTCTTTTCAAAATTCAAGACATTGAGCAAAAATTTAACGAAAGTGTATCAAGTATGCCTATTCTTAAATCACAGGAAAAAGAATGCTTTTCTGCCTTACAAAATAGAAAACGTATGGCTCTTAAACCAATGCATTTTGCCGCGAATCTCTTGGACCCCTCTGTTTCCTGGTAGAGTACCTTAACAATGAAGAACACATAGCCGCTATGGAATTTATCAACAAACATCCTCAGTTTGTCAATAATAAAGAAGCCATTTTTACAGATGTCATAAATTATTGCGCCAAATCGAGTTTATGGGCTCTCATCTACGTTTGGATGTCAGTTAAAAATGTAGACTGTCTAAGTTGGTGGCAAGCAATGTGTAAAAATACTCAGTTGAAATATTTAGCTGTTGCTCTAACGTCATCTGCAGCCACAGTTTCAGTACTTACAGTTTTATCCATACTAAAAAAAGGAATCGCTTAATTACACAAAGAGCCGGCAGAATAATGTTCGTAGATCATAACAATAAATTATTACTACAGAAACAAAAAGTGGATATGGAGCATGATATTCAACAACATGAAACTCCTCCAGAACCACTAGAACCTGTAGAGGTAGAGGTCCATCCTTCAGAATCAGAACCAGATGATACATCAAATATATCTGATTTGGAAATAGAAACTGACGAAGACAGTACTACTACTACTATAATACCCTACGAAGATGGGACCAGCTCGGCGCCTGAAGTATTCCGGAATAGAATAATTCAGTTATTTGTGTTTTACGTTTTTTAAATTTATATTTCGTGCTTTTCTGTTTTTTTTTAAGATCATAGTCACAGTTCATGGTTTATGTACAAAGTACAAATGTTACCAAATGATTTTTGTTATGTTATGTTTATGACTTTTATGAGTTATGTATTGTTTATTAAAAATATAACAACTAATATTATGTTTATTGTTTTTTTCCACTTACATGTTGGTATCAAATGTCTATCTAATTTATTCCTTTATTGTATCAACAAAAAATATGTAAAATTGTAAAATTTCCAAAAATTGCATAAATTTCCTAAAGTTTCAGAAAGTTTCGGAAATTTCCTCTGCAACAATCAAAAATTTCTGAAATATTAACATCACTAATTATAATGTTTAGTCTAGAATACCAGAAATAGTTTTTTTTTGTAGTTAAGTAGTAGGTGAAGGGATAATTTGGCTATTTTTTCTTTTTGTTTATCTTAGTAAGTTTGATAATTTTTTCAGGGTAGAATACAAGAAGTAGTTGTGTAGTGTTTTTATAAGAGATTATATTAGTTTATTTTGTAGATGAGGTATTTGGGTATTTTTTCTTTTTGTTTTTCTTCTAATTGTAATAATTCTATTAAGTATTGTGATAGATACACTATATCTTCCTTCAACTTCGTTGAAAAGTGCGTTATCATATAATTTTGGTTTTCTGGTAGTAGAATATACGAAAAAAAATCTGATCAAATTTATTTTAAATTAAATTAATCGAGACTTATTAATCAAATTAATCTAGTGAAATAATAATAACAGTTAGTTTCTATTAGCTTCTAAATACTATACTGGGTGAGTTTCCTACGATCGATGTTCTCTATGGGTATCTCGGAAACTACTGAAGATAGAGAGTCGGTTAAATGGGGAAAGAATAATTGCAGTTTTGTAGGGTCATAAATATGCGCCTTTCGGATTTTTCGGAGAAGTTCAAAGCTTACTAGATATTTCGAAAAAAAAACAAATTTTGGCTATTTTAAAACTTGTCTCTAATTCCATTATAATCTACCGTATGATCGAATAAAAACGGCGTCGACGATGGCTATGAAATGAAGATCGCTGTCATTTTATATGTAAAATTATATGGGAAATATCATCGATTGTCATTTCATAGCCATCGCTGACGCCATTTTTATTCGATCATAGGGTATTTTAGACAAAAAGTTTCAGATAAAAATTGTAGATAATCACATACCTAATGAGTTTGTGTTTTCTGTTTTTTTCCTAAAGGCTGTCATTTTTGACATATGACACAAACATTATGTTTTTTTTTAAATGGAAACCATAGTTGGCCATGACTTCATAAAAAGCGCCATTTTTTAAGCTTTTCAGCGATATAGGTATAATATGTTTTTTTCGAAAAATTACAAGTTATAGCCAATTCTTTTCTTTCTTGGCTAATTTCCATACCAATAATACCATGCCAGTTAGTTGGCACCAAAAATGTAAAAAGTTTTATGTTTTAAAAAAAATTAAATGATTCTTTTATAAACCTGCATTAAATCAAATTAAAATAGGTATGTAACTTTTTTTAAATATTAATTAACAGCCAATTAGCATTATCATAAATTATAAATAATGTACCAACATATCGAAATAATAATTTCTTTGTTAATACGGTTTAGAATTCTTAAAATAACAGGCAAAAATAATCCACAATTTACAATAAAATAAAAGTTTCGTTTAAATTTCTTAATTAACTGATCACTATTAAAGTTCGCAGAAATCCGGGGCTATTTTATTATATTACTCTGAGGAAAATAACGAAAATAATCGATATTTTTTACTCCGCACCGAAAGGTTCACGATTTGTCCTCCAGTTGGCAGCACAATTTGTCTAATCGGTCGATCAACTTTAAGAATATATAAACAAGGCTATTACTAAATAAAGTAATATTTTTTAAATATCAAAATAGTAACAATATTTACTTACAAAATAAAGCAGAATTATTCACCATGTTCAAATTGTCTTCTTAATTAAATACATGTTAGGTACTATTTTAGAGTTACTCCGCCCCGAAAGGTTCACGATTTGTCCTCCAGTTGGCAGCACAATTTGTCTAATCGGTTGATCAACTTTAAGAATATATAAACAAGGCTATTACTAAATAAAGTAATATTTTTTAAATATCAAAATAGTAACAATATTTACTTACAAAATAAAGCAGAATTATTCACCATGTTCAAATTGTCTTCTTAATTAAATACATGTTAGGTACTATTTTAGAGTTACTCCGCCCCGAAAGGTTCACGATTTGTCCTCCAGTTGGCAGCACAATTTGTCTAATCGGTTGATCAACTTTAAGAATATATAAACAAGGCATTACTAAATAAAGTAATATTTTTTAAATATCAAAATAGTAACAATATTTACTTACAAAATAAAGCAGAATTATTCACCATGTTCAAATTGTCTTCTTAATTAAATACATGTTAGGTACTATTTTAGAAGTAATAAGATTATTAGCTACAGGTATTAATTCAGAATTATGGCAGTGCTGAGTATTTAATGAAAATAAAAACACTTTTCTTGCTGAAAATGAATAATTATTTATGAGTTATAAATCATTTAAAAAACAATACCCACCTACCTGCACATACATTATGATATTTAAATATTCCGAAAGTACTCTATTAAAGGTAATATTTGTAAAACTTATTACAATAATTCAAATCCTCTTGAAAAATATCATCTTGAAAGTCAATTTGATGTATTTTCTTTCAATAATAATATCCTGAATGGTAAAAAAACGTAAAACATAAATGTCTTTTAGGTTAGAAAGAAAAGTACAAAAATGGACCAAAAATGATTCTTGCTGCCGAGCTAGGATCAAATTTGAACTGTTTTTTTTTAGTCCTAAAACCGTCCGCGTTATAACCCGAACATCTAACTTGATCTAACTCTGTAATCTAACTGAGAGCCCAAAAAAAGTTCGCATTGAACCCGAATGCAAATCTTCTTCTGCGCATGCGTATCACCGTTCTAGGACGGTTCAAGAAAAAAACCCAATAAAGCGATAGTAACATAAACGCAGCCTGATAATTTATTAATTCGCAACAATGAAAGTAGAACTGGTAGATCCTTTTAAATCAATTATTCTTTAGAGATTGGACATGAATCAGTTCTGCTGTTGGATAAAATGTTGTATGGCCCTCGCGTGTTATAAAATAATATAAGTCACTTGAGAAAATTAACCTAAACATTTCCCAGAGTGACTTATATGTCAGATAACCTTTGAATAAGAAGACTAAGGAAGGAGCATATCAAAAATCTTAGGTACACCGCGATGGGCCTCAAATATGGCCGACTTAAATTCCGGTTTATCAGTGTCGTTCTAATTTTATTTTAAAAATGTAAAACTATGATGTAGGGTAGACGTGGGATAGACTCAATAATTTGTTGTTTTATTTTACGTTGTGAATAAATGTTGGTAGTTATTAAAATTGTTATAAAAATATATAATTCTAATAAAAATAGATAAGTTATAATAAGTATTTATTAACATAAACATCCGATACGCTACTGAAGCAGGTAAGACAAATTAACGTATCTAAATTCTTTGACATCTAATCTTTGACAAGTAATAAATAAAAGCTAAAATGCAAGAAAAATATATAATTTAGTTAATTTAAGTGAATTTCATAAATGATCGGTTTACTACACGTATGTATATTATATAGTCACTTACTAGCAAAAAGTTGTTCCATTATTTCACTTAATTTTTGCCGAGATCTACCGCACGCTACACAACCAACTATTTTAGAGTCTTTTTCGATAAATCGCGATAGTGTCACTGTTAATTTAAGTTCTGCCACAATTTCCATCTAGATTTACTACCTTTATACAACTATCAGTAGTAGAATAAATAATAAATAACATAAAATAAGCTCCGTAAAGACTGACAAATCCACAAAATTTCAAATCAAATTCAAATGTGTCAAATGAATCGTCAAACAGAACTGTCAAAGATCCCCACCCTAGAGGGCTTTTATGGTGACTTTTCCGCCCACCATGCATGAATACATAGATAGCATATGGATAGCATTATGCTCCTTCCTTAGTCTTCTTATTCAAAGCAGATAACACACTAGTATCATAAATAACTATTGATGCTTTGAAGACGGTTGTCATTTTTTGAAAAATTTACCACTCTATATCTCAAAAGTTTCCGCCCCTTTAATGTCATTAAGGAACACCTTCTATATTTAAAAAAAAATTAAAATATTTTACAAAATAATTTATTTGTTTTAATACTTAGGAACGACAGGATGTTGGACCAGGGTGGAGTCTGGCACTGGTCGTTTGGAGCCCATTGGTGCTTCACAGGAACTCAGATTGGACAACGTACTCTATCAAGAGGGCGGAGAATACCGATGTGTAGCTCCGTCCAAAGAGACCATAAAGAGACTAGATTCGATAAGAAATGCCTTCAAGTCAGTCCAATTAGTCGTCACTGGTAAGTAATTCTAGACAATATCAAATTATATATGTTACGGTTAAAGTCCGATGTCCGGTTAATATCGACATTAACAGGTTAATGTTTGAGTTTGGTTATATTTTTGGTTGTTTTGTTGTGTGTTATTCTCGAGATTAATCGGGTAATGTCGACATTAACCGGACATCGGACCTTAACCGTAACATATATAATTCAAGCTTGATTCATATTTTCATTTGAGTGTAATACCGAAAAATAAAATATACACCCAGATTCAAAAAACGGCAACTGAAAATCTTTTCGTCAAATTTAAAGTTTTATATTTTTTTGTTTTCAGCCGTATTTTCCTAATTTTTTTAGCAAATTGTATATAAATATATCAACACACAATTCTTATATTCAATTTTTATTAACCTTAGTATTTGGCTTAATATACAGGTCAATCTTTGTGGTGGTTTCAGAAAAATAAGGAAACATGGAGTATAAATAAATATAATTAGTTTGTAATGGAGGTTAATGTAATATCATTCGATTAACCTCGAAGGGTTGTTTTTATCCGAAGTTTAAAACACCCTGTGCAATAATTTGGTGGGCAAACTGTCCTAAATTTTATTTTTCAGACAGAACCGTGTCTCCTGAAGTGTCAACACATGTTTTGGATAATTTTTAAGATCGAAATGAACTTTCCACCAGCAATTTGTAATTTTTCCAGTTTTCATTATACTTTTTGATGTTATTGTTCTATATGACGAGGTGTCCTTGGTGACTATTTTCGTATTGGCATAGTCAGTTAAAGATATTGACTTGCATATAAAGCACAAACGAACCTGAAAATCCAAATCCAAATTTATGTCTTATGCAGTGAATAGGAAAGGAAGCATTTTGAGCACTTGATCCAGCTAATTGTTGTCACATAATTATACGTTTATATCTATTTTTAATTCTGTACTAATTAAAATATACCTTAAACGTGTATTTTTTTACTACCGTTGAATATTTTACTCTACATCCTTTAATTTTTATTAATCTAATTTAATTTTAATTTAATCTTTAATAAATTAACAAAAGGTATATGGCAGCCACCTAGATTTTATCAAATTATAAAGATCTACTAACGAAAAATCATAAAAATTAAAATATCTGTTTACGGGAAAATCTTTGTTTAAAGGGTAGGAAGTAATAGTATGGTACCTTAATGGTATTTTGAAGAGACATTAATTATCCATTGAATATCGGAGTAATATATAGTGGGTGTTCTATTTAAAGTAAAGGAGTAACTTGCTTTTAAATATGGCCAACGTTCAATATTAATTTTGCCTCACCCTATGTAACTTTTCCGGTCAAATTTTAATTTGGTTTAATGTACAATGGTTATTTTAATTAAATATCGGGCTATACAGGGTAAGTTACAATTTAGGTAGCTGTTTGGTTTGGTTTGGAAAATTTAAAATGTATTCTTAATTTTCACAAAATGTTAAATAGGTCAAAATCCTTACATTTTAGACGTATCCTTCTTTAATGAATATCACCCAAGCAGCATTTGGACGTTGGGACAACGTTATATAACGCGACCAAACGTCGGGGCGCAACGTCGGCACAACCTTGTGCCAACCCTAGTCTGCACTAGTTTGGAGAATAATTTTTGGGTCGAAACGACGTTGGATACCGACGTTGGCTAGCAGCCTAATTCAGTACAAACTGCAACGTTGTTTAAAATCCTAATTCACAGAAATACAAAGCTATAATAATATGGCATCTAAGTCGCGTTTTATCCTAAATTGGGATAATTATAGTAAAAATATTATTTTTATGATTTAGTTAAAGACATATGCCAGATGGCAGTAAGGGAAAACAAAACAAAAGTATTTAAGTGTGAAGGATGTTTGAAGATCATAATTATTGAAACACTTTAACCGACTCTGTAACTCGTTACCCAAGGTAAAAAAGTTAAACGCAAACAACTTTATTGATAAATGTATTGTTTCTACTTTGAAAAATAGTAATGGGCCTTAAAATTAAAGAAGTCTTAAAAAAATTCTTGAATTTTTTTTTAGTAAAATGAGAATAATTTATTCGCAGTCGAAAAAATTGTTTCCGCGTGTTGTTTAGGGTCAAATATTTCAAGTTAATGTATTCAAAAAGCAGGAATTGCTATTTTAGGAACGAAACATTTTCTTATTCAACAACATGGCGGCTTTCACTTTGTTGTTTTGGAGATAAGATGGAGTAGGGGTTCGAGTAGTCGCATACTGGACTAATAAAGTCGCAGTTCAGACTTAACAGGTAGTATACTAGTCGCAAGATTGCCTAATTTAGTCATCCTAGAGTCTAGCTTGTGCCGCCCTCTATATTCTAAATAAACGAGGGAGTGGATAAAGTATCGGTAATATGTCGATGTATATTTAAGTATAGTTTTATATGTACCTTTCTTATGTCCCATTTTATGTTTTTTTTTTATAAAAACAAAATCAGCACTGAACTGTCTGACTAAACAGAACAATGAAGTGAAAATTTAAGATTTAAGGTTATGGTTCAATACAGTTGCAAAAAGGTAGTGGCTCGACGTCCTACCAACGTAAGAATAAGTAAATCTAAACAACGTTGGAATTAGTAAAACAGACGACGTTTGCATAACGTTGGAATAGGTCCTGAAAGTGACGTCGGAAAACTCTTTATTGCCCAACATACGTTGTCCAAATTACCTAAAGATCACTTAAGCAAAAAAAGTTACAAGACAACGTTTATTCGACGTCGCAAAAGCTTTTACTTTGTTGTAGTACTAGTTCAACGTCGGCACAACGTTACAACAACGTTTACATTTATTTTAATACCCAAGGTACGGAGCTAACTATTTTTGTAACTAATCCAACGTTGTGTTTAGTAAACATGTGGTCGCAAGTCGTGAAAATGCTACTTGGGCACCCTTATTTTTTTCCTAGAATTCGAAAATCAATTAATATAATTCCATTAAAAAAACACAACTTTGATGCGTAACTATTTTTGGGGACGCCCTATAGAACTCTATATATTTTTATAAAATGCTTTCAGTTAACCTATATATATATGCTCCCAAAATTTAACTTTATTAGAAACTACTGTTCTCCTTGGAGCCTCCGTGTCGTATGAGAGGTGCCACCCTGTATACTAATATATCAAATTTTTCGTTCTTTTATCTGAAAAAATAAAAAAGTAATAAGGCTGAGCCTCTTTTGAAATACACTCGGTATATTCAAATGAAGGCAATTGGTACAAGGATTTCATTAATGGGCGTATAGTAAAATCCTGAATAAAAAATAACATCTAAAAATATGAGTTCAGTTACCTTGGCAAGCTGAGCTATTACCTGAAACTTCTCCCTAGCTTAACTTAAACTATCTAATGGCAATTAAATATTTAAGTTACCCGCAAGTTCTCCACCGTCTTCCTCGGGGTTTGGGCGGCCGAAATTTTTGTTTCCCGCAGCAAATGGAACGTATATTATTCACAAGGCGTGACGGCCATTACTCACCAGCGGACGGAGTTTACTAAACAAGCGGCAAACTCCTATCCTAATTTGCTTTATGACTAATAGTCTATACATGGGAGAACAGGCCGCAAGATCTTGCTTAATAGGGTACTTTAAAAACATGTTGCGCAACTGAAAAATAAACTAGAAATAAGCAGAAAGAATCTCTATGATGAATTAGTGACCTACTACTTGCCAAAGACAAAATTTGGGAGCCCGAAAAAAATTCCAAGAATAATTTAATTTCTTGTGGTCTTTGCCAGGCGGTCTCACAGTTTTTCTGAAAAACGGAAAATAATTTCAACATTGAATTTTTGTTTTTTTCGGCCCAATAAAGTAATAATTTCACTATATTTCATTATATTATAGTTTATCTAGAAAAAAGTCCAAAATTTTACTGAAAAAACACTTTTCTTACGAAAATAACAAAGAAAATTGAGACCAGATGGATGTTTGACATTTCATGTATCCTTCTTTCTCTCTCCTATGTAACAAGAGAGACAAATATCTTCTAGATCTAATCTAGAAATTTGAAAATTTGCAACGTTGCCATGTCTTGTATTTTTTCGGGTGATTAGGGATTTTAAATAAATTACCTATTATGAGATCTGACAATAGTTAAATATACCTATATCCACAAAGTTGCACGAAAGAGTTTTAATTGCATTGGTTTCAACTTCTATGCGGAGGGGGTTAATCTTCTTGCGGAAGGGGTTAATCTTTTTTTGTGACATTATATAAAAAAAAGATTAACCCCCTCCGCAAAGAAGTTGAAGCGTGAAGGTTGTGTGGGGAGCAAAAAAACGCGCTAAATTTAGGTTTAGCGTTGGCAACGTTGCTTTAAATATCAGAAACACATAACCCAACATTTTCAGATTGTTTACAAATTTATTTTAGCAAATTTTCCTCTGTTATGCATAAAATTGGTTAAAAAAGTAACAGAAAGTAGCAAAAACATCATTGTCTATTGAGTACCTAACAAAATATGTGCTAGAAAACCTTAAAAATATTAGAAATTAAGAAAAATTCTATGTTGAAATAATTTTTCGTTTTTCTGAAAAAACGTAAGAGACCGCCAGAAAAAAGTTCAGATTCGTAATCTACGACCTCAAAATAAGGTGTATACCAATTTTGGTGAAAACGGACGATTTCCAGTTTTCCCAATAATTACATAAATTTCTAATAAGAAAATACCCCTTAAAAAATTCTGACCTAAAACATTCGTATTGGTATCTAGAATATTTTTAATGGACGGGTCTTATGAAAAAATTTGTATAATCTCACATTCTTTCCGAAAAACTTGAATATTTGAGAATACCTCTTGTTGCGAAATTGAACGAAAAGATTAAATTGGAAAAAAGAAACTGATGAAAAATAAATATGCCAGGGCACTCAAACGACTTACCCCGACACACTGCCCCCTCCATAGAAGGATCCTATTTCAGTTAATATGGAACTTTGTAAATTAAAAAAAATCTCAAACATCCAGATATCTTTACAAAACTAGTCTAATACA